TACTATATCTACCAAAAAGCAGATAGAAGACAAGAAGGGACATGATTAAGTATAAAATTCTTTCCTGGATAACAACTGACCTTAGATGGTACAATTATTTCACATTTAGCTTCCTCTAGTCTGCTTAGAAACCCCGAGCTTGTTCCAACTATAGATGGTTGCTTTGGTGTGGCAACATTGCCCTAATGAAATTGGTTGCAATCAGAGAGGCGTGCTCCAGAATCTATTGCAACAAGGGAGACATTGTACAATAAACTTACACACAATGGGATTTGTGGGGGCAGCTGAAATTCACAGGATCCTGAACTTTCATGAAAGGATTACTGGCCTAGAGCTGGAACAGTTAATTCCCTCCCACTGTTCACATTGGGTGGTGAAGGAAAGAGGAAGGAGGATTGGAAAATTGTATTATTTATGTATTTATTTATTTATTTATTTATTTATTTATTTACAGTATTTATATTCCGCCCTTCTCACCCTGCAGAGGACTCAGGGTGAGAAGGACTTACAATGCACATATACATGGCAAACATTCAATGCCATTTAGACATACAATGATTCCGGTCACAGGGGGAGCTGCCGCTTCACTGTCCACTTGTGACACCGAGTCCTTTGATGGAGTACTTCCTCATTCTTCTGGAAGGTTTTTTTAATGGCGTCATAAATTAGTTAAATTAGCCTCCCTGCATAAAGCGGTACCTAAATTTCCTACTTGACAGATGCAACTGTCTTTCGGGCTGCATAGGTTGACAGCAAGCTAGACTATTAATGGTTGGGAGCTTACTCCAACCTGGGTTGCCTTAGAACTCATGACCTATTAGTTAGTAGTGATTTAATGCAACTGGCTACTAACTAGCTACACCACAGTCTGATCCTGGATAGTAAGGTGGTAATTTTCTCATCCACACAATTGAGTTGCAAAAAGTGAAAGAGTTTAGGAAGTAGTGATAGCTGTTGTCACAGAATTTCCTTTCCTATCACTATATGGACATGTCATGGGATTGCTGTTCCCTTCAATGTGAAAGAAAGAATCAGGGTTTTAACAAGTTCTCCCTTAAATCAGAACTGCTACATACAGGAAGAAGCTAGTGCAGCCTTTTGAACAGAGCTTGGAAAGTTTGCTATGTCTGGGTGAAGGTTAATGCATCGGGAGGCGCAGATGTATAAATAGTGCCTGACCAAGACCAGTACTTGTAGGAACCATGATCCGTCTGACCCATGGCTGTCACAGAGCATTGTTTCATTTGGCCTCCATCTCATTTGCATTCAAAAGAGCCTCTGATGGTTTCAGGGTCATCCTGCAATTCAAAACAAAGAGGAACTGCAGTCTTGCTATGCCTTTTGGGGACATTTGGTAGATGATCTCATTGCCATCTGAGAAAGTCATCCCTCTGATGATTTTAACAATTCTGTCTGCATGAATGAACTATTCTTCCAAACAATGAGAGCTTGGGCCATTGCCAGTAGTGGCTGAGGCCAGGGAATCCACTTTGGGTTTGCACATTGACTTTTAAAGCACTATCTAAGGTCCTGAAACCAGTCCCTTTCCACATAGGTTCAGCACCTGGGATGGCTTCTTGAAAGTTCACAGTGAACTCTGGGGGCTTATGGGAGTTGGAGTTCCAAATACTTGGAGGGCCACAGGGTCAGGCCCTCTCTAGAGCAAATTCACAGCCTCACAGATAACTCCATCAACCTTCACCTTGCAATGATAGTTACAGCTGTTTATCAGATGTGTATGAGTTGAAGTAAAGGGCTGTGCATCTGCTTAGATAACTGTGATGCAAAGTCAACCTTTGAGGCAAACAGAAGGAATAAAGGCAATTCTGTCTATACCCTAATACAGTAGGCTCTCAAGCAACCAGAATCCTCAAGCAACAAGCAAAAACAACAAGCACAAAAATTGCATACTGCATTCACAAATTGTTTTTATAATATAGTGAAACTGTTACATTAAATAAAGTCGATATTTATTTGTCTTTACTTGCTTTTAATTACTGTGTTTCAATGTTAATGTTGTCAATGCAGAGTTTATGGTATAGTATCAGTTAGACTTATTTTTAACAGTAACTCTCAAACAACCAGAAACTACATTTATTTGGCATCTAACAATCTCCTTGGATGTTAGTTAACTGAAAGTCTATTACAGTAATTTATAGGGTTGAGTCTCCAGAGAGGAATACTTCCAAGTCCCATTTCAGCAAGACAGCCCAGAAAGTATTATGTTTGATGGTACTGAAATCAAAGTCCAGCAGAACCAATACAGATATATTCCTCCTGAATTCCCAGCATACATTTCCACCAGGACAACCAAAGCTATCCCATGCAAGCACTTTGCATTAAAACTTCATACACCGCTCAAATTAGAGAATTTTGTTCAGAAGGCGAGCAAAATTGGCCTAAGTCAATGTGTGCACTTTGTATCATCAACACCCCATGATTTATCTCTCTTATCTCAGTGAACACAAAAATAACATTCACAAAGAACCTTCCACTTCCCTTGCAAACATGGGAAGATGAGTTAAGACTGTCCTTTGAGTGGCTTGCACTAGATAAACATACAAACAATTTAGATAATAGGACATGCTGATGAAATGGACTTTGGTCCAGGAAGTCTTCTGCTGTAAGAAAAGTGTTCCTCTTTTTTACCACAACAGACAAATAGGGCTGTTAACTACAAACTTGAGAACAGATTGACTTTACAGGAAAATAATGTTTAAATAAGGGAAAAAGAGAGAGAAAGGGGGAAAGTTAATACGATGTTAAACTGATAATACTATCTAACAACATTTGCAAAAATTTTGTTCCTGATTTGAAAATCTTATTTCCTGTTTAATTGTGTGGTCCTTACTTTGAAAGTAATTGTTCTACTCCAGATATTTAGTTTTTGTGGCTGCCACTAACTATGCTAAATTCGTGAAGTCTCAATGAGATCTTCATTGAAATACTATAGCAAAATGTGCTGTTACAGGATATCCCACAAAAACAAAGCTTTTGAAGTTAATAATAAACTTTTCCCATGTTTTTAGGATAGAACCAATTAGAAAATGACATTTATACCCCTGGGACAAAACTCATTTTATATAGTGTAATCATTGTTGGAGAATAGCAACCTTCTCAAGCCTCTTTTATATTGTTGTTTGTGTTTATAATGTGCCGTTTTATTTCCTGAAGTGTATGTCTTCTTTGGTTTGTAGTTTCCTTAGCTCTATGTACTTGAAGCAGTGGGAGGGGCTGCAGATCACATGACTGTTTAGAATGCTTTTTAAACACGATGACAGTTGAGGAATGACAGTGAAGCCTTGAGTCAGTTTGAGTACAGAAGTCATTATAGGAAGTTAGAAAATTGTTGATGCTTGAGTTCCTTTGAAAGTAGACTCTTATGAAAGAGAGCTGTACAGAGTTGAAGACTCTAAGCTAAAGATACAAACTGAAATGTTTTAAAGTTTAACCTGGCAAGAAATGTGTCTGTATATCTAAATACATGAAGCTATGTGTAAAACAAACATGTTACTTTAAAACAGTGGTTCTTAACCTGTGGGCCGCAGACCAGTGGGCTGCAAGGACGAAAATCTGATCCACAAGCCTCCTCCTCTTTATTTATTTATTTATTTATTTATTTATATTTCCGCTTGCCACTCCTTCCCTGTTGTTGACCATGGCATATGTTCTGTATCAGAAGCTAAAGATGATGTGGTCTATCCAATGCAATTTTCTGAATCAGCACCCCAAACCGAATCTAAAGTTGACCAAAAACTGATTTGCAACTCTTTTGGTACTAATGTTGAAGAATGGTCAACTTGGGCCCGTGTTTTGGACTTCAACTACCACCATTCCTAACAACCTCAGGCCCTTTCCTTTCCCCCCTCTGCAGCTTAAGAAAAAAAGTATTAATGTTCCACAAATATAGCAGAAAATTGGTACAAATGTTTTGGCACCTAACACCACAACAATTGGCCAAATATTACAAGAATCTAAACAATTTCTGTTGTAATTTTTGAGGTTTTTTTAATACTGGTAGTCAGATTTTGTTCATCTTCATGGTTTCTTCCTTTCTGTTGAAATTGTACACATGCTTGTGGATTTCAATGGCTTCTCTGTGTAGTCTGACATGGTGGTTGTAAGAGTGGAATTATTATTATTATTATTATTATTATTATTATTGGTTTTATCATTGTAAAAAAATTCACAATAAACATGATTATATATATATATATATATTTAAAAAATGAATGGTGGTTTGGGCCATTTCTTTTTATTAATTGGTTGTAAGTGAGCCAATTCTCTTGGATTTGTTCTTCTGTGTTCAGCTTCTATCGGGGAGAACCAGAGCGGCGTTCGATGGTAAAACCTCTTTTTATATTTGTCCCAAACTTTAAGGGGAGCAACCCTAACAAAGTGATTGTTGAAATTCCTTTCTGATTTGGTTTTCTCTCTCCATATATACCTGTGCCACCCTAGAGCCAAATCGTATCTTTCCAATGCTAGGAGTTTTCTTTTCTCTAGGGACCTGGAAAACCTGGAAGTACTGCTTTTCTCCAGTGCTCAATTCATTGGGCCACATGGCTTCCCCTACTATCCGCCCCCCTCTCTACTATCTAGACCCCAACCTTCCCCCCCCCCACGTTAACCCTTACCCTTTTCCACCCTTTCTGTCAAATTCATTGTTCCCCTTCTTTCGATGTAAAACCCTGTACATGGTTTCCTTTCTTTTTAATGTATGTAATAAAACTGAATTTTAGACTTTTCTATCTCGCTCTACTCTAAGAGCACATATTCTAAATAAAAAGATATTGAAAAAAATGAATGGTGGGAGTTGAAGTCCAAAACACTTGGAGGGCCCAAGCTTGCCCTTGCCTGCAGAAGTGTGGAAGCAGGAGCTGCAGGCACCCCTTCTTCTTCCTCTTCCTCTTCCTCTTCTTCCTCCTGCTGCTGCAGCTGTTCTCCTTGGCGCGCGGTACGTGTTGCCAGTCCGGTTCGCCCAGGTCACGCGGCTGGTCTTCCGCCACGCCATTGGCTCCGCGGCGGGCCAGCGCCTCCTTCCTGCCCCTCAGCCGAGGAAGGAAAAGGGCAAGAAGGAAAAGGCGGCGGGAAGGAAGGAAGGAAGGAGAGAAGGGAAAGGCTGCGGGTTGCGATGGCTGCCGAGGCGCCCCCGGGACGGAAGCGCATCCTCTGCCTCTTCGACGTGGACGGGACCCTCACGCCGCCGCGCCAGGTAACGCGCCTCCCTCCCTCCCTCCCTCCCTCCTTTGGTCCCTGGCAGAGAATGAATGGGGGCCCAGAGGAAGGCTGCATGGAATCAAGGCACTTGGGCACAACTTTCTCTCCCTGACTCAGGGCTACAAGGTCTTGAGTCTTCTCTCCCAAAGAGTGCTGGAACAACTCCCAAAGTACAACTCCTAGCAGTGAAAGTAGTGTCAAACTGCATTAATTCTGCAGTGTAGACGCACCTGAGTCTTTCAAGGCGCCACTGCTGCAGGGCTGCCTTCCAAGCAGGAATTATTCTCTACTCCATGGTTATATAAGTGCTGTGAAGTTGGATGGGAGACTGATCTGTCTAGGATTTGGAGGCTTTAAAGAGTAATCCAATGCATATCTGGCACCTGACTTCCTTCTTGGCAAGCTTCAGAGGGAGGAGTTTTTGATTATGATGGTGATTGTTGTTGTTATATTTATTTATATCTTATTTTCTTCACTTAAGTGAGATCCAACACAACTCACAACACTAAAAACAATACAAACCATAACACTATTTAACACACATTTGGTTTCTAGGCTATAAATTCCATTTCCTAATCCAGTGGTTCTCAACCTGTGGGTCCCCAGATGTTTTGGCCTTCAACTCCTAGAAATCCTAACAACTGGTAAACTGGCTGGGATTTCTGGGAATTGTAGGCCAAAACACCTAGGGACCCACAGGTTGAGAACCGCTGTCCTAATTGGTTCTGTTATAAAAACATGAAAAATGTTTATTAAACTGCAAAAAGGTTGTTTTTGTGGGACATCCTGCAGCACATTTTGCTATAGTTTTATAATGAATATCTCATTGTTCATTCGTTCAGTTGCTTCCAACTCTTCATGACCTTATGGACCAGCCCATGCCAGAGCTCCCTGTCAGCCGTCACCACCCCCAGCTCCTTCAAGGTCAAGCCAGTCACTTCAAGGATGCCATCCATCCATCTTGCCCTTGGTCGGCTGCTCTTCCTATTTCCTTCCTTTTTCCCCAGCATCAGGCATGTAGCTGGGGGGGGGGCGCTTGATGGGCTTCAGCCCCCCCCTCGAAATTCTCATGGTGGTCCGCAAGAAGGCCTTACTGGTGCATTATTTAAACTGTTATGTTTATTCATATCATGATCTGATCACCATCAGGCATGTAGCCATCTTCTGTTCAACATTGACTATTTGGCAGATTTAATTTGCCAAATAGTCACTGTTGTATGTTTTTATGTTGAATGTTTTTATATTGTGTAAATGCTATTTTTAAATTGTAAGTCGCTCAGAGCACCTTGGTGGAAAGCGACTAATTAAGAAATAAAGTGAAGTGAAGTGTTCAGGGCCATCATCTCTAGGTGCTGTTCCCCTTTCCATACAAATCCTACGCAGTATCGTTTATTTATTTACATCCCCCCGATTAAATCCTTGCAACCTTTCCCCAGCATAATTGTTTCTCTAAGCTTTCCTGTCTTCTCATGATGTGGCCAAAGTACTTTCATCTTTGCCTCTACTATCCTTCCCTCCAATGAGCAGTCAGGCTTTATTTCTTGAAGTATGGACTGGTTGGATCTTCTGGCGGTCCAAGGCACTCTCAGAATTTTCCTCCAACACCACAGTTCAAAAGCATCTATCTTCCTTCGCTCAGCCTTCCCTAAGGTCCAGCTCTCACATCCGTAGGTGACTATGGGGAATACCATTGCTTTAACTATGCAGATGTTCGTTGCCAGTGTGATGTCTCTACTCTTCACTATTTTATCGAGATTGGCCATTGCTCTCCTCCCAAGAAGTAAGCGTCTCCTGATTTCCTGGCTGCAGTCTGCATCTGCAGTAATCTTTGCACCTAGAAATACAAAGTCTGTCACTGCCTCCACATTTTCTCCCTCTATTTCCCAGTTATCAATCATTCTTGTTGCCATAATCTTGTTTTTTTTATGTTTAGCTGCAACCCAGCTTTTGCACTTTCTTCTTTCACCTTGCTTAGAAGGCTATACAGCTCCTCGTTTTCGGCCATCAAAGTGGTATCATCTGCATATCTAAGATTGTTAATCTTTCTTCCAACAATTTTCACCCCAGCCTTGTATTCATCAAGCTCCACATGTCACATGAGTGCAGCATTTATTTATTTATTTACAGTATTTGTATCCTACCTTTCTCAGCCCAAAGGCGACTCAAGGCGGTTTGCAGTTAGCAATAATTTGATGCCCCAGCGGACATAAAATACAGTTTAAAAAATAGCATATAAGATAAAAACCATACAAAAGCCAATAGAAACAAAAAGTCATCCGCGTCTCCTTACTAAACTCATTTTCCAGTTGCATTGTCAAGTCGTTCCGTAGTTCCATATTTACCTGTTATGCTGCATTTGCAAAAACTTGCTCAAATTACCAGGTTTTGACGTTTTTACAAAATGTTAGGAGGGAGGGGGCCGATCTAATATTGCTAGGGAGGGAGTTCCACAGTCAAGGGGCCACCACTGAGAAGGCCCTGTCTCTCGCCCCCGCCAAACGCACCTGCGAAGGAGGTAGGATTGAGAGCAGGACCTCCCCAGATAATCTTAGACTCCTAGATTGTTCATTACGAGAGATACGTTCGGACAGGTAAGCTGGGTGTTTCTCAACCTGGGGATCGGGACCCCTGGGGGGGAGTCGTGAGAGGGCATCAGAGGGGTCTCCAAAGACTGTCAGAAAATACAGTATTTTCTGTGGATCATGGGGGTTCTGTGTGGGAAGTTTGGCCCAATTCTATCATTGGTGGAGTTCAGAATGCTCTTTGATTGTAGGTGTGTAGCAGTCAGCGGAAAAGAATAATTATAAAAATATATTTAAAAAATGAATATAGGAAAAGCATACCTTGAAATACTAGCGAAGGAGTGTTTGCGGCAGGGAGAAGCAAAATGTTCCATAGACGAAAGTCAGAGATCAAGGAAGTTAAATATTAACGGGAACATGACATTTGGGAAACAATAATAAAGTGAGATGTTTATCATCAAGGGAATGTTTCTGGCAACCAGACAAGGACGCTTGTGTAGATAATTGATCTGAGGCTGGAAAAGGTCAGAGCAACATCTGGTGGTTCAGTGAGGTAAATAGCAGGTAACTTCAGATATATTACGAATATGGGAATAATTAAGATTTGAAACAATTATAAGTACGTCAATATAATATGTCATTGTGATGTATGGGAAAAGGTAATGCGAAATACCTCTGTTAATGTTTATATCTGTGTAAATGTCATGGCAATTGTGCGCATGTCTGAACTAGTGAATTTTGCTATAAATATTGTAAGCTGAGTGACTTCTAGTACGCTTCAGATCACACTTCTGAGCGTCCTATCATGATAGTAAATATGCCTGGAATCAAATTTGCAGTCTCCGTCTCCTTCCTGCCTGATTGTGCTCTACATGATCCCGGGTAGCAAATCTGCCGCGACAGGTGAACTGTAAATCCTAGCAACTACAACTCCCAAATGTCAAGCTCTATTTTCCCCAAACTCCACCAGTGTTCACATTTGGGCATATTGAGTATTTGTGCCAAGTTTGGTCCAGATCCATCATTGTTTGAGTCCACAGTGCTCTCTGGGTGTAGATGAACTACAACTCCAAAACTCAAGGTCAATGCCCACCAAACTCTTCTAGTGTTTTCTGTTGGTCATGGGCATTCTGTGTGCCAAGTTTGATTCAGTTCCACTGTTGGTGGAGTTCAGAATGCTCTTTGGTTGTAGGTTAACTATAAATCCCAGCAACTACAACTCCTAAATGACAGAAAAAATCCCCCCAACCCTTCCAGTATTCCAGCAATTCTGGCCACTGCTGGCACCTGAGTTTCAGGCATCAACAATGAGTCCAGAAGGACCCCCAGACTGCAGACCTGTGTCTTCAGGGGGAGTGTAACCCCATTGAGCACAGGTTGCCAATGCCGCTCTATGCCCCGATTGGCCTCGCAACTGACCACAAGGAGCTCTATCTTGTCTGGATTGTGTCAGTTTGTTGGCCCTCATCCAGCTGCCAGACATTGATCCAAGATCCTGGGATATTCCCTAGAATTAGGTGGAAAAGAGTAGTAGAGTTGCGTGTCATCTACATAGAGATGGCATCCAACTCCAAAACTCCAGATGACCTCACCCAGCGGTTTCATATAGATATTTAAAAGCATGGGGAAAGAATGGAACCTTGCAGGACCCCACAGGTTAAAGGCCAGGGATCCAAGCAGGTGTCCTGCAGCATCACCATCTGGGTACAATCCTCCAGGAAGGAGCGGAGGCGCTGCAACGCAGTGCCCCCAAGACCCATTCTGGAAAGCCGACCCAGAAGGATACCATTGTCAATGGTTTCGAAAGCTGCTGGGATGTCAAAGAGAACCAGCAGGGTCACACTCCCCGTCTAGTTCCCTGCGGAGGTCATCTACCAGGGCAGCCAAAGCTGTCTCCCTTCTGTGATTAGGCCTAAAGCCAGACTGCAATGGATCAAGATCATCAGTTTCATCCAAGAATCCCTGGCCTGAGAGGCCACCACCATACTGACTTCTGATTTACTTCTAAGTATTCATGTAGCCAAACTAGCAGTTCGAAAACATGCAAATGTGAGTAGATCAATAGGTACCACTCCGGCGGGAAGCTCCATGCAGTCATGCTGGCCACATGACCTTGGAGGTGTCTACGGACAACGGCGGCTCTTCGGCTTAGAGTCGGACACGACTGGACTTCATGTCAGGGGAAAACCTTTACCTTTACTATTCATGTAGCAAATCGCTGCTGATTTTCATCTCCAAAAGCTGTTCCGTCTTCAAGACAGCCTTCCTCCAACACAGATTCAGATGTATTGGGTAACACTTTTTATCACAGGCAAACCACCTTTGTTGTCATACAAAGGAAGATTCAGGTGTGTTGAGTGACACCTTCTATCATCCCCAGCCAGTCTTCTGCACTGTCTGGTGGTTTACTGAGATTGGACACATTTGGGTTCGCTGATCCTCTCTTGGAAACGAAGCAGGGTCAGATCTGGTT